AGGACCTTTGACGAGGTCTATGGTAAGGAGGCTAGAGGAAGCTACTAAAGAAGATAATGTAATTCATAAGTATAGAGTATGTTTTCAACTAGTTGCTTAGTCTCCATTGTATATATTGTACAGGATATTCTTGACCATGTATGTACGCTCTAATACCATAACAAAGTTATGGAAAAAGAATCGTGTGTATCATTCTATTGATCAATAGGTAATTATATACAAGTATATGACAACTACAGATCTTAAACTATAGGTTAAATTATCTCCCTCATATCCTTGATATGATTTGACATTATTCTACAATAAAGGAGAATTAAAACGGACAAAATGTAACGGACAAAATGTACGCCAAATTAATTATTTCAATTGATGAAATAATCCCAAGAATTGTGCATGAGAGCATAACCCGTGTAGCATATCCCATATTAGTTTAAGATCTGTAGCTATCATATACTTGTATATAATTACCTATTGATCAATAGAATGATACACACGGTTCTTTTTCCATAACTTTGTTAAAAACAATGAAGTAAAGGCACGAATATACCAAACCATTTTAAATAAATTGTTTTATAACCAATTTAGAAAAAAAAATGGTCTCACATTACCCCCATGTATAGGAATGGTTGTAGGATAGGTTTTACTTTTGCATCTTGGTGTATTGAGCCATGGCTTTGTATTTTGGGGAGTTAGCTAGTGAGTTGATAATGTATATCCTTTTGAGTTTAGGCAATTTTGCTTACGAGAGATTTCTGTTTTACTTTGTGTAGAACTTTTGTATAACCTATTTCTTTAATTTTACTAATATATGAGATGTGCTTTTCAAAAAAAAAAAACATTACCCCCAATTTTAAAAGTATTTTCTAAATTGGTTATTTAACAACTGATTTAAAAAGTATTTTCTTTATTTTTAATTTTGTAACTAGTTTTATATCCATGATGTTAAATCCAATTTTCCCACTAATTTTGTCACCTTGAGGACAAGGTGTTTTTTTTCCAAGGGGCAGGGAATGATAACACTAGTGGCCCAATAGTTGATGACACATTTAGGCCCAATTGAAAACACTGCTTGACTTGATGGTTGAGATGATTTCATCAATTGATATTTAGATTTTCCATTAGATCCTTAACTGTTTTGTCAATCAAAAATTGGGATTTTTATTTCATTTCTGATAGGCATTTTTATTATGTAGTTATTTTTCAATGTTGTATCACTAAGTGGTCCAACATTTTTAAAGATGGATAAAATAGATATTTTATATCGATTTTAGACCGTTATAAATCTCGGACATAAAACGACATAACTTTTTATGTTAATTAAAAAATATTTAATATAAAAAAGTCTTGACTTTCTATGTCAATTATAAAAGTAATTGACCTAAAATGTCTTACCTTTTAGGTTTATTAACAATTGTTTCTCTGTACCATTCTTTTCCTCTCTTTCTCATACTATTGTCATGTTCTTTCCCTTTCGTTGTTGCATCTTTTTGCATTCCGTTATCTCGTTCTTCCCCCTTATCACTTCAAGTTCTTTACATTTTGTCACCATGCTCTTTTCCTTTCACTCTCAGATCTTTATATTTCATCATCACCATTCACCACTTTCTATCTCATTCTCGCATCTCTTCCCTCACATCATCTACCACCACCATGTTTTTCACTTCTATTGTTTTTCTTTCAAACCACCACACGATCAACATTTAGTCAATAGTAATAGAAAACACAAAAAATAAATGAAAACAAAACAACAAAGTGCAGTTTTTTGAAATTTTAAAATGCATTTTGATGTCAAGTATTGTTTCATCTGTTATAAAAAAGTTTTTTTCTATGTCAACATTACACGCATCATAAAATGTATTGGAGAGGATTAACTTTGTAGTTGACACTAACCTTTTTTATGATGGGTGTAATGACAATATTCAATATGAAAAAACATTCTATGATGAATAAAACAACACTCATCATAAAACATTTTATTATATTTACATCTTTGTCATCGCCTCACTTTCAATGTTGGGCAAATTATATTTGACATAAGATTTGCACCAATGAAAGTTCTTTTTGCATTTGTGTTTATAAAAACATGTATGAGGAACAAGAAGGTAATCAAAATATTATCTAAAATTTCCTTTTTCTTCTCAATTATGGATTTATCTGTATTGGAAAAAGCCCAAATCCCACATCGACTAGAGATTAGGTAATTAGATAGTATATAAGTGGAAAGCAACCCTCACCTTACAAGCTGGTTTTATAGGATTGAGTTAGGCTTAAATCCACTATTCTAAGATGGTATCAGAGCCCAATAGTGCTGGACGTGAGGGGGTGTATTGAAAAAAACCCAAGTCCCATATCGACTAGAGATTAGACAATTAAATAGTATATAAGTGGAAAGTAACTCTCACCTTACAAGTCGGTTTTGTAGGGTTAAGTTAGGTTTAAATCCACTATTCTAAGAATCTGTCCTAACCTTGAATATAGAAAAAATCTTATTCCTTGTGCCACAAAAAATTGGTCCTAACAAATGCATCGCATATATTGAAAGCTCAAAATCACGTACATAATGTGTTGTTGTTTTGACATTATACCATCGCTGAATATATCATGTTGAGAAGAAAAGAACATAACCTCCCTAATCTCCTTGATAAATCCCTTTTGGTAAAATCATCATACGGCTGCCTAAAGAATGCTGAAACAATTTTGGTGTTCAAATTCCTTGGGTGTCTGGTTTCGGAAAAGTCGTCCAAGAAAAAAAAAAATCACTCCTCGTAAAATAGTGTCACTTATATATTAAAGCAACACTTCGATTGAAATTATAGGAATTTTGGTAGAGAGGGAAAAAATAGTGAATAATAGAATAAAAGAAAATGGAGTAAAAAGATTGAATATAAGAAAAATATATTATAATATTGATATATCGCGTGAAATGTGTTACACACACTGATATCAGTGATATGGAAAGATATTCCTTTTAATTCATTACTTTTAATGCCAAAGCAAACACCTCCTATCATGTTATACACGATAGCATGCCTATAAACTGTCTCCTTCTTGTTGTATGTCTTTTGAGTGATGTTTTTCTACTCTTGCTATGTCTTATCATCAAAAGTTTCTTGATAGTTCCAGAAATTTTGTTATGATAATTTTAGAATGTGCTATAATTTTCTGACAAACAGAAAACATTATACTCTTGTTTCGAAAATTCCATCCAACTGGCTTGGGTGAAGTTGCAAAATTGTGTAATAAGCTCATTAAGCATGGTTCTAATAGACAAACAGAAAATGATTTTCAGAATCAATATAGATAATACTAAAAAAAAAAAGAACAAACAATTATCATACAGTAGTGATACATATTTAATAATTATACAATATTTATTACTAAAAATTATTCTTAACAATATGAATATAATATATGTTTAGGGTTTGAGGCACCCCTAGCACTAGTACCACAAATTAAATGAAATTTGCTGTTTCAAAAAAAAACATGAATATAATATATGTTAATATATTATTAATTAAAAAATATAAATATAGATTATAGTGATATATTATATATATTATTAAATCTTATTTAAAATCAAAAATTTTTCTAATTATATATTAAATAAATTTATACCTATATATATTTTATCTAAATCATATTTTTGTATTTCATTATATATAACATATTTTGTAGCAAAAATAAATTGAGAAATTAATGAAAGAAAATCACACTAACACAAAATCTCCAGCAAGTCAACTGAAACAGCACTAAAGCCCATGAATTTTCCCTAAAGGCCAATGGTACGCTGAACAGTAACATAGAAAAAGAAAAAAAAAAAACTTCTGCATTACTACTGCTTATGTATATATAAAAATAAATAAAAAAATTAGAATCAATCAACAAAACAATCAGTAGTGAACAATTTAGATAAGGTTATTCTTGAAATATTCATTAGTAATTAACACTTACAGTACTAAAACAAAGCTGTTATTTCCCTCTAAAGATCGAAAAAAGTCACAAATTAGGATCTTCAAACAAAATCATGAAGCCATTTAGTTATACTACTCCTATTTTTGAAAAAAAATTCATCTCAAATTATCATTTCATCAAAACCACACTGGAATTTTCTAAGTTAATTCTAATTGAGCAAGGTGTATATCATGGTTTTAAATTGCGGTTGCGGTCGCGGTTGCAGTTACTGCGATTGCGGGTATTGCGAGTATTGCGATGCGGATTGCGGCTGTTGCGGTGTGAAATTATTAATTATTTTCACTAAATATAAAAAATTTATAATTATCAATATATATTTTATTTTTAAGGATTTATACATTTTAATTCCTTTTTTTTAAATATTCTATTATTTTAATGAATAATTTAATTTATTTTAAAATTATAGTATCAATTTGTCGTATTACGGATGTATTGCGGTGCATTTCAGATGTGTTGCGGACGCAACACCGTTACGTTGCAGAAAAATGTGTGATTTCTAGTCTCACCGCAATTGCGGTCCAATGCCGTTGCGGACAAGGCCGCAACAGCAATATTGCGGCTGCAATACGTGTTGCGGTCCGCAATTTAAAACCATGGTGTATATGAATCATGAGGTTGGGATGGAGGAGCCAATACATGCAGTAGTAGGTATAGGGAAATGAAAACACAAGGTTGAGACGTAGGAGCAAATACAGTACCCAAATCAATATATATACCCATCTTCACTCGGGTTCCAGTTGGTTTTCTGAATTACAATAAAACCTCAACATCATATCCATGCATACAAATATACATTAATATTTAAAAGAGCAGAAAAAATACAATACTAAAGCAAATAAATCATCATTCATAGCCTAAATAAAACCATTAATAATAAATTATTCAAATATAATAGACTTAAAAATAAGTAAAGAAACGAATAAACCTTCAAAATAGTATCTCTCAAACACATAGTTTCTTTAAAAAGGAAATAATTGTCTATTTCTCGTAGCTTTCCTAAGAAGCATATAAAAATAAACGATTATTTCTCAATAGTCTGAACTTAACTAAACAAACACACATGCATCTCATGTCATCTCATGGTTGTCCAACACAAGGGTTGGATGAAGATGCAACATTTGCAGGAGGTATACCATATTCTTGGCTCAATGGTGAGGCTTGAAAGCGCCTTGGAACATTTGGTGCTGGATCAGTTCTGAGACCGTACTTGTTTGCACCACCATGGCTGGAGGGTCCAACATGCATTTTGTTAAGTGAGCTCGGTGGGATTGTAACTGATGGAGTTGAAGTTGCTGTGGATGAGGTTGAAGCTATTGATGAGGCAGACGGATCTGCCATGTTATCATCTTGAAGAGGCAAAGACTTTAACACACGAACTACATCACTCATAAGGGGTCTTGCTTTTGGATCAGTGCGAACACAGTGAGTGGCCAACCTCACTGCTTTATTTGCACCTCTCATTGAGTATTGGCCTTCAAGCCTAGGGTCCATCAGATAGCTTAAGTTGTCTTTGTTCTTGAGAAGGGGGCGCAGCCATTCCACCAAGTTTTGCTCTCTCTTGGGCAATGTTTTGTCCATGGCTTTTCTACCTGTCAGTATTTCAAGCAAGACCACCCCAAAGCTGTAGACATCACTCTTGGAAGTGAGGTGTCCTGTAACCACAACATGCATCATGTTAGCACCTCTAAAGATCCCAAACCAATGCAGAAGAAACTTGCACAACATGCAACATTGAAGCTTAAATCATGCATACATTGTTTCCACATGTCTAATGTAATATGTCATAAACCTAGGGTTTTGATACGGTTAGTTTTTAAACCAATTGATGTATGAGTTTCCATTTAATGAAGTCATTCATGTCATCTATTTTGCTATTTAGTAAGGATTAATGATTTATGCAACTAGTCCAAAAACTATCTATAAACAAATCCTTATTATCTCTTGATCTCGAAGGAGAATATCGTGTGTTCATAGATCCTATTGTATTGACTTGATATTAGTTTATCATGGAAACAAACTAAACATGGTCCAGACTAGGTATTCTCATAAAGCATGTAATTTATGACACATGAATACAACATTTGGCTGAGCAAATGGGAAAGGGATATCTAACAGCAAGGATAAGATTTCAACAATGAATTTCACTTTCTTTCATATTGATACATCCTTTCCAGAATAATTTAATCTAAACTTTCTATATGCCATTTTATTTAATAAATATGAAGAGTCCAGCTAGCAAGCGTGCATAACCACAAACCAAAGCGACACTAGATATATCATAAATGGAGGAAAAAGTGAGTAAATTTTCAGTACTATAGTAACTATATTCCCTTGACCATTAACACTTTTCATTAGATAGTTTAAATTTTCTCCCATTTTTATTTTAATAAATTAAAATTCAGTAAAGTAACCATATACATCCAGGTACCATGATTTTAAGTTACATACTCTTGAAGGACTGAAAAATTTCCAAGACTAGATGCAATTCAGACTCAAGGGTCAAAGCATTCTGATAACAATTAAAATAAGATGTTTGAGAGTATACTAACCTGTCATCACATATTCAGGGGCAGCATAGCCTTGTGTTCCTATTATTTGAGTTGACACATGAGTTGCATCTCCCACTGGACCATCTCTAGCAAGCCCAAAATCAGAAAGTTTTGCATTGAAGTTCTGAAATAGAATGAATGATATATATTAAGATGATGAAGGTAAAGATGTATATATGTTGAAAATTATGTAGCATAGTAAGAAATATATAATACCATATCCAATAAGATATTAGATGTTTTGAAGTCTCGAAATATCACTGGCTTTGAAGCTTCCTCATGCAAAAAAGCAAGGCCCTTCGCAGCACCAATCATAATTTTCAGTCTCAGAGACCATGAAAGCTGGCGCGTAGACCCTGTTGATACATGACACTATTACTTGTTAATTCTCAGTGAGTTGTTAAGCTAAATCAATCTACAAAGAAACAGATTAAAAGTACAAGCTAACATTATCATAAACCTAAGTTCAGATAGGATTGTTCACTTTATGTTCTTTAAATGAGAATAATAACACAAGTTAATACTGCAGAGATTAAATGAAGCACTTACAACTCAATCGCCCAACTGCATTAGAACCTATACCTTGATAAATGTCATTAGAACCTATATTTGGTCAACTCTAAGGCTCAACAATAAATTCTACAATTGATTTGTAGAAACTTATGTATGATTTTCTGATCTTAGATTGTTCAGAATTTTCTGTCACTTTTATTTTTTCTTAAATCCATGCACATAATTTGTACACATTTCTCACACGAATGAATTGCAAGAATATTCAAAGCCTCATACTAAGATGTATAAACTAGTAAATTGTGAAAGCTAATAATTAATTGTTATACCTTCACACAATCAAGACCAAAGACATCGCCTACTACATAAAGGAAGCATATATTGACATTTTAATTTTGTGAGATTGAAACAATGAACGAAAACTATGAGCCTGGTTATTTTAGGAAATATTTTCTGAATTTTATTTTTATTTTAAATAAAATCTTTAATTAAAATAAATAATGTGACATTTATGTAATAAAAAATAAAAATATATATTTTCACACCATACGAGAACTATTAAATTAGAGAACACAAATTTCTACAAAAGAATAAGTTGAAATTAAGACATACTCCTGAAGGACCTGAACAGATGCTTGTCTAAGCTTCCTCGACACATGTACTCATATACCAGTAACCTATTGTCATCTTCGATGCAAAAGCCAACCAATTTAACCAGATTTGGATGATGGAGTTCACCCAGATAACTAATTTCAGCCTGCCAAACATGAAAAAAATGAAGAGAAAGAGTTTTTTTTTTTTTTTTTAATAACTAACAAGATATATATATATATATATATATATATCAAATGTAATTTACTCAATAAAAACTGGTGGAAATTAGCTAACTGAAAAAGAAACAAAGTCAGGGTTTGTATGGTCACATACAAGCCATTCCTTATGACCCTGAAATCCCTTCAGGTTGAGACTCTTCACTGCAACTGGAATCCCTACTCCAGGCCTTGCTGCATAGTTCCCATGCTGGCTGATCCAACCTTTCAACACAGTTCCAAACCCTCCCTCACCAAGAAAATTCTCAGCTTTGAAATTTCTTGTTGCCAATTTAAGATCATTAAAGCTGAACCTTCGAAGAAGGGAAGAAGCTACTATAAGTTCCGGGCTCATGTTGGGAGTGCAAGATCTTGCACGGCTTCTAAATTTTTTGGTGGATGAGGATCTTGAATTAACTGGTTGGTGTCTAACAACATCAGTTGTAACATTTTTTCCTGTTGATTTACAGCGAAAAAGAAACACTTCTAATCATGTTTAATTTAATTAGCAACATATATATAAAGTGTACATGAATTGGACACATTAATGATCAATTAAGTATAAATTTGTCATGCCCTAGAAGATTAAAGAAGATCCTGAATTAGCCATTTGCAACATACAATGAATATATTTTAGTACTGAAAACATGCCTTTCAATTTTATTTCACAAGTTATTCCATTAACATAAGCATATATAGAATCTATGTTGGTTCAAGTTATTTTAAGAAAGGAATTGATTTTTTTTTTTATGTGCCGAAAGAACTTTTGATGAATTTTTTTCCCAAAATTTATAATCCTGACTTTTCCTACTTTAACTTTTGTACTTATCACATGCCTCTCTCTCTCTCTTTTGTTTTTTTTTTCTTTCCCTTTTCTGGTAAAATATCTGTTCCGTTTATTACTTTTATTTATTTATTTATTTAGTTTTATTTATCTTCTCTCCGGAGGAATATATGCCCTGAAGGATGTAAAGGAAAAAAATAAACATTTTATTTAAAAAAGCTAAACAGGATTTACATGACTGACTAATTAATATATAATTTGATTTATTGTAAATTAAATTGAGCAAAAAAGACCAAGTATAAGAAGAAGATAAGGAGGACATATCCAGAGAGAGATATGTAATGGTATATGGAAGAAAAGTCCGAAGACACCCTTGGGAGAAATAATAAAAGAGAAAAATAATAAGTGTATAATAAGTGATTAATAAAAATTCGCAAATAAAAAGAAACGTGGTATCGATTACGCGTTTGTAATTTTGAATGAAGGGTAGTTCAATGGTATATACTATATAGGGGAGGATACAAGTATGGGATTGCCACCTTGTATATATACCTAACCAATGTATGAATCAAAAGCGAATTTTTTTTATTGAAACGAGAAACTAGCGTGAGATCTAAGAAGAATAGTTAAGGTAGAAAATATATACCATAGCGTTGTTTGGTTTTTTCATTAGAGGAGCTTTCCTTCTCGGAATTCAAACGCAAGCAACATAGCAAAATCCTGAGTTTCCTCCAAAATCTTGAACCTTTTTCAGTTGTAGAACCTTGAACAACATCTTTGTTTCTCCTTCCATTGGATTTGCTCGCACTCGTAGTACCGACCTGAGTACCAGCAAGGCTCCCCATTTTTTCGGTTCAGATACCTAAAACATTGAACATATAAAAATTTCAGAACAAAACACAAGAAGAAAAATGCTAGCCAGCCTCACACTTTCAATACCTCCAAAAGGTGATTGTGTCAAACAATCTTATATGCTGCTTTGGTGCTTAATAAGAGATGTGTTTAATTAGAGTGTTTGATGCATCCAGTGCTTATTTAAGAATGGGTGTTCAAATATTTTTCATAAGTCAATGTGCTTGCTTTAATTAAATGATAATGATAAATGCTAGGTTGAAAGTTTAAAGTTTATTTGTGAGGTACACTTAAATGTTTAACGTTGTTGTCTCACAAAGATGAGTCTTTTAAGTTGTAAAATTAGTAATATGTAATAAGATGACCCATTTTAAATGGGTAAAAAGTAAAAGACGAAGA